GAGCAGGGCTGCATCCCTGGTTCCTGGGCAGAGAGCAGGGCTGCACCCCTGGCTCCTGGGCAGCGCTGCAGGGCTGCACTCCTGGTTCCTGGGCAGAGAGCAGGGCTGCACCCCTGGTTCCTGGGCAGCGCTGCAGGGCTGCACTCCTGGTTCCTGGGCAGAGAGCAGGGCTGCATCCCTGGTTCCTGGGCAGGGAGCAGGGCTGCACTCCTGGTTCCTGGGCAGGGAGCAGGGCTGCATCCCTGGTTCCTGGGCAGGGCTGCAGCTCTGCCCAGCCCCGCTGGGGCACGTGCACCTCTGCAAAGGAGCCAACATTGCAGGGGAATGCAGTAAGGTTGCACGCAGTCCTTGCAGCTACTGTTCATTCCAGCTCTGGGAATACCCATGTCACAGACAGACCTTTCTTCACTGCCCTGGTTTTGACTCCCCTCTTAACTTACAGGACTRCTGTAGCTACCACCCTGTTACAATGGGGCCTGGCAGTGCCCGGAGCAAAGCGCGAGAGATAAGCGCTCTCACCCACCTGCCTTCAGCCTCCTCCACGTGGCACTTCCAAGTGGAAAGAAAGGGAAGTGCTGGGTGGATAGAGCTGACCTTTTTAAATATTTTTTTTTCCACGCTTCACTCTAGCCCCTCCTTGCCTTTGAATAAACAGAGGAGTGCTAAGAACCTGCTGCCCTACACACTCGGCCTGGGCAGGGAGCATCTCGGGTCCTGCAGGGACAAGGAGTCCCGAGCTCCTCGCTGGGCTGCCAGGGCCCGGGGCCGGTTGTGCAGGGCCGTGGCCACTGGCCAGCCCAGGCCCAGATAGCCGGGCGGCTCGCAGGGCCACCGCCGTTTCCTCTCACTGCCTTCTGCCAGAAAGATACACAGAGTCGGGTGAGGCTCACACTGACAACGAAATGATCAATCACCGCATTCCTCCTGAAGCAGCCCGAGTCCTTCTTCTGCAAAACATTTGCGGTAAATGCCAAGCTTGCAGAACTAAAATAAATCAAGTCCTTTAAGCCCAGACAGACAGATCYACCCTGTCAAAGCCTGACCCTGCATCCCTCATGCAGAGCGAGGGCTGTTTTCAGCAGAGTGGGTCCAAGCTGTCAACAAAAAGTAGCTATATAGTCTGTGCCCTGTAAGTTAATGCAATTCAGTTTGTTTCCGTCACTGCTAACCTTTAAATAAAGAGGGGTTTTCTGTTGATTGAGGGCCGCAAATCAATGAAGTGMGGAGGGAAGGCGCCGCTTCAGCTCCGAGTCAGTTCCTGCCCGTTCCCCTCGTACGTCCCTCTCTCCAGATTCCACCAGGATCTCCCAGCCGTGGAGTTTCCACCACGGGCACCAGCTCCTGACAGCGCCCGCCCTCTGCAGTGTTACTCAGGGCATGCAAACGGTCCCGTTTGCTGTGTTTCAGTGAGCTCCAACAGCTGATTGCACCTGGACCTCTTTCATTTGGTAAAACAAAACGCCTATGCCATTTTGGTAAACATCTAATCTGCAAAATTACAGCTACCGTGACAAGTCTCGAATGCCAATGAGGAGAATTCCTAAAGAAAACCCCGCAGCGCTAACGCAAAACCCACCGCTGGCGGTGAGTTGTTTTCTTCCCGCCAACTGTGAGCCGAATGAAGTTCTAAAATGAACCAAAAAAGTCTTGACATTTACAAAAGAAAAAGAAAGTCGGTCATAAAAAGCTTAACAGTCCATTACAGTATATTTTAAGCAACATTTAAGATACAGTTGAAATCAAGAAAAAATATAATTGGTATATTCTGATTTCTCACATGTATGCTAACTGTGGAAGTTAAGATGCAAGGCAGTATTACTTTAATCACTATTTGCTCATGTATAAAATAAGTTACATCCCATTAAAAAAAATACGTTTTCACATTTTGAATTCACCAAAGTATTCATTTTCTCCTATTTTTTTCTGTTCTAACTGGGATCTAATTGCCTTACATTAATAAAAAAAAAAAAAAAAAAAAAAGGAAGTCTTTACCAATTATTGGTTCTTGGCTACCTGCCCTTAAGGGTTTTGTTTGTCAAGACGCTTGCTTGTCAGTGTTTGTAAATCTGAACGGATTCTCTTAGCACATTGTGAGGACAGCAATGACTCCTTGCAAGGTGGTGGGTGCTCTCAACCACAGCCCAAGGTACAGGCTTGCATTGCTCATCCCAGAGTTAAGCTGAGGCCTGCAAACTAACATAAAGAATTTTCTTGTAAAGCCCACCTGGGACTTTTGAGCTATGTCGGCTTAGGCCACGCTCTGAGCCCAGGAGGAACTTTACAAGATGACCCTGTTCAACAAATAGTACTGAGAAACGACTGATTTAAGTCCTTTTTCTGATGTACAGATACCCACAGGGCATTCACACAGGCAATCTCCTGCCAGCTTTTCCTGCGGCACTTTCCGTAGGACACGTCTACACCCAGCCGCTACCAGGACAGTCTCCACCTCCCTCGCGTCGTCACTTGGCATTCCTGGATAAGGACGGCAGTGGTGGTGGCACCAGGTCCCGCTTTGCCGCTCCCGGTGTGGTGTTCCCCTCCGCTCCCCCTCCAGCTGTGCCTGTGCGGCGGCGAGCGAGGCGTCAGTGGGAGGGCGAGGTGTCTTCCAGGCCCAGGAGCTCCCGCACGAGCCTCTCCCCGAACTGCGCGCGGCTGTACCTCGACACGGGGTAGGCCTCCGACATCTTGTACAGGATGTAGGCGTTGTTTATGGCGATGCTGATGGCGAACCAGAACACTTGCTGCCAGGTCTTGTTGGGTTTGTGCGAGATGAAGTATCTGCAAAGACAAAGGGAGAAGAGATGAGGGTGAAAGCGTTTGGTCAAAGGCTTCTAGACGAGAGGCAAGAAATAACCCACACAGATTGCTCAGTCCCAAAGAGGAAGCGGGCCCGAGACTTTCTGACCTATGCAAGCACCGTCTGCAGGAGCTCTGTACAGCGTCCGTGACAGCTGCTTGTGCTTGTCTGTCTCCATTTTTGCAAACTTCTGAGAACGCTCCCTTGTTCTTACAATCAAAACCTCACCAACAGTGCTATCTCTGTATCACAGCATGTAAACGAGAATGACAAACAAACACCCAAATGATGGGAGCTGTGGGTCTACATTTTTTCAGATTGTAAGTAAAAAAAAAAAAAAATCCAGTAGGTTACAATTAGAGAAGACTTGCATTTCTCTCTTTTGCAGGCCAAAAATGATTCCTGCTATTGTCAACAGTGAGTGGGAGGATGTGAAGGTAGAGCTAGAGCGTGCAGTGCTGGTACGTGAAGCATCTCTCCATACGGCACAAGATCTAAGAAGGACTGACAATTTTATATATAGGCTCTGACTAATTCTAGGACTGCTAGAATCTTCTCCTCAGTCAGATGATCTCCCACTTTTCTACTTTCAGTTTTTTTAGCTTAATTCTACTATGTCATCTTTCTCTTTGTATTTCTTCAGATCAGATCCCCAACACTGGTCTCCAGCAACTGCTTCCTCCATTTCTTCCCCTACTGAATTCTTGCTGCCTTGCTCAGAGCTGACTTAGAGAGAATCCCTGCTGCTTTGTCCATCTCTTCTCAGTTTCTAGTTCTTGAATCTTCTGCACTTCACTGCTATTCCCAGTCATGCCTTCCTCATGTCTATCCTTACTTGTTCTCACTTACTATTGAGGCAGCCTGAAAAAACTAAACCCTGGCTGAAATCTTGATTTAGTCTCAAATTTCATGTGGACAATAACACTGACCTGCTGATTCTTTCCAATTCTTCTTACAAGTAATTTAAAAAATGCTTAGAATATAGGTCTAATGAATAACATGGGTATGGGTGTTTTTCTTTTTTTTTACTGGTGGCATGGAGATCCAAAATAACACTAGCACAGCTTAAGAGATTACTCAGAAGGTGAAAGGCAGAGGGTAGAAACATGCAATGTGCTTAATGAGAACTACTCATTCATGTCTTCACTCCTACACAGATTCTCTGCAGTAAGGCTAGCAAACTCTCCTCCTTCTGCAGAGCCGGCTTCTGAGCTTTGATTTAAACAGGAGTTTTGTTAGAGATGAATTCAGTGAAGACAGGACTGGGCCCTCTGCTGCAGGTCAACACAGAGAACCTCAAACACGTGGCAGGGAAGAAATAAGAGACACACACATGCATTCAGGCACTTACTTGCTGTATTTGTCATCGTATTTGCAGATATAGCTAAGGTGAGCAGCAAACGCTTCAACTGCCAAGGGACATGGAATTTCTCCGCTTTTTCTCTTAATTATAACTCCTGCATCAATTAAAAGCATAACAGTTTAAAATCCACATGATACGTTTAGTAATTAAAATACACCCTGAAGAATAGTTTGGGTTCAAGTGTGCAATAGCAGCAGCCTGTGCTTATCAGCAGGGTTTCTGCTTCTTGGACCAGCTGTGCTGGTTGTAACTTGCTGCTTTTCTGGGGCAGTGCCAGCTGCCCACTTACCCTGGTGGGCTGGTTCCCAGGTGTGCAGTACTCAGCTAAAGCGACTGTGCCACTGGTGCTGAATGGAAAAGGGCCACTTAAAGGTCCATCCTTTTGGACTCTTTCCCCACCTCCACTTCTGACAGTGAATATATGAGTCTTTTTATTTCTTTACAGAATGAATTCTGCACCAGTACAGCTTGTCTACTGGTCAGACGGCTGGATTTCAGCTCATTCCAGGTGAGTGATAGTCCTGCCTACTGCAGAAGGACAAAAAGTCACCTGCGGCTTCAGACCAAACAGTCTCAGCATTGAAAACGATGCAGTGCTTAGATCAGGTTCATCTAGAACGGGTTCATTTCCCACGTATGGTGCTTTTTTTGCTCCAGCCTTCTCCAACAGTTCTCCGTGCAGTAAATATGAGCCAATTGCTCTCCCAGGACAGCAATTATGTCAACACTCAGACAAACATGTTTGCCTTCTCTCATCTTCCCCTCCGATCCCCCCAGTGTGGCTGTTAACAGCACCCTGCCCCCTTGGTCTTCTTTGGTTTATCCTTCCTCTCCTTCATGCTCTCCCCATCAAGGGGGAAGCTGCGTGCAGGAGGGAAGGATGGATAGAGCAAACCTGTGGCACTTTAATAGCAATCCGTTCCCTAACTTGACTACATTTCCCTGCAGGGTTTGCTAGTCAGCTCTGCCTCTTGTGGTCTGTAGTGCCCAGTGGGGATCCCTGTTCCCCTCCACCTTCTGCAGGACAGTTCTTCTCTTGAGGTTTAAAGAAGCACAAGTTTCACTGGATCCCTCTTCCATGTTGTTGCAGGACAAACACAATCCTGGGCTTTCTGACTTCTCATGCCTTCAGACTTGCCCATCGCTTTGCTCCTGCCAACGCTTTTACAATCATCCCTAAAATGCGCCTCATGTTTTGGTACAGACTTCACCATTTCATCCCTTCAGCTAGAAGTCTCATTTCATCCACTATCTCTGTCAAGCCCCCCGTGCTGGCAGGCTCTGTTTTGAAGTGAGATATATGACACATACTAAATGTCCCATTCATCTGAGCCATGCAGCAATTTATTTGGGTTCTTTAAAGTCAGAGGTTTCTCATGAGTCCAAAAAGATCTCGCCTCTAAATTTTCCAGCTCTCTCCCTTCACCTGTGCTCCCCTCAAACGAGGTGTAAATGTGGCCCAAGGGGAGGAGAAAACACAGTTGAAAACAAAATTGAATGAATAAATCTTTCAGACTTCTAAAACTTTCACATGCTTACTTATTGTGGACTTCCTCTTTTTTATCTTTTGATCCCTTTATTGACATCTTTTAAAAAACACCTAGTCAGCAGCAGGAGGAAGAGGATTGACTGGCATCAGCATGATACCCTGGTGCTACAAAAACCACCTCCTGTGGTGGTTTTCCCGACCTGGGCAGGTCAGGAAAGGGGGACTCTGATCCTGGTGCCAGAGCTTTATAACGAGTCTCTTGGTCTGTCTTCTCCCCGCCCTCCTCCTTCAGCGACATTAAATTTCTTCTGTTTTCCGATCACAGTTCTTAAAAATGCAGTGGAAGGCAGCTACATGGCACCATCTACCCTTCTCCTTTTCTGCTACACCTCACATAACACTCTCTTGTTCGGAGAACACGGATAGCTTTCCTTGCGTGTTGCTGGGCTGGATCCGCAGCCCGCGGCACCCCCAGCGTGGGCCAACCGGCACCGCCCCTTCCCTTCCCTTCCCTTCCCTTCCCTTCCCTTCCCTTCCCTTCCCTTCCCNTTCCCTTCCCTTCCCTTCCCTTCCCTTCCCTTCCCTTCCCTTCCCTTCCCTTCCCTGGCCACCCCGGGGCTGGCGTTGCCCCCATGCCGGTGCTTGGCTCAGGCTGTGGGAGGCTGTTGCTGCGTTTCCAGCCCGCGTGCTTGTCAAGCAAAGCTTAGAGCCCACGTCTGCAAATGAGGTAAGCGGGCAGACAAAAGCACATACTTGCTTGTTTCCATACTTATTTTACACTGATCCATGATTTCTGGAGTCAAAATACTGGCTTTTTAAAATGAGGGCTCAATAAAATCAGCATTTGCATCTACCTTCGCAGACTCTGAGATTCTGTAATATAATATTACATTACACCAAAGGGGGCAGGGGGGCCCTGCACATTCCAGATGTTGTATGTGTATTTTGCAGGACTTCTGTTTGCTAGAGGTCTGTGTCAGAACTGCAGACAGCTAGAACTACAGGACGACTAATACTCAGAGCCTTCCCATCAGAGCCCCACTAGCCCATCCCCACTCTCACCCTACCTGGACGTGACACCCTGAATGGATTCTCACAAAGGACACAGGGAAAGTTAAGGTCAAAATCCTAAGCAGCTCTGTGTGCATTTTTATGCTCCTCCGATTTTTTTTCTTTTTTAAACACTATTCCTCTTTCCTAAGACTTCCCATCTCCAGGCCCATGTCAGCTTTTCAGGAAACTAGTCAGCCAGAGAGACAATCTTTGCTGTAGCTTTTCCTGCTGAGAACCACACAGGGACTTCCACAACTGTGTCAGACAGCTGCGACGCCTCCACAACATTGACTCTATTTCTTGTTCCAGTCGCAGGGTCTCTAAGGGGGTGCTGGGGAAGGAGAAGCACGGACAGCAGGGAGAGCAAACCAGAGCTCCCTTGGGAGCTGCAGCCTGACACCCGGGCCATGCAGGAGGCTGCTCGTGTAGCTGGCTCCTGGGTCGCGTTCCCGTTTGCACCGTTATCTCCTCTCCAGTTACTCGCCATGCTCCTCTCTGGCCTCACCTTATCTATGTAGTCTGTACTCCTAACAAGCGTCAARCCTACCTCTACCTTCCACCACCACAACTTGCCCGTGGGATGCCAACCTGCCATTTCCAGCTCTTTAGTCCATACCCCCTGCTTATCTGGCCCGAGCTTACTTTCCTATCCTTAGTCATTGCCCCTTTAGCTTTTAGGTAGATCTGGTTGGTGAAGAGCATCTGTGAAAGCCTGGCTGCTTCTCAAAAAGATCCCTTTTACAACAAGTTTTTGCCAAAGTCTAACAGGTTTGGAAGAAAGCAGCCCAGCTCCCTTGCAGCTTGGCGATCAGGACCCTGTTTCCCAGCACCAGAGGCTCTGAGATATCTGGGCTCCCTACTGYAAGTCAGAAAACCCAGGATTTCCCAAGTTTCCCCAGGTAGGATGTCTGCCCTCTCCAGAGGGCAAGAGGCAAGATGCATTTATGATGTCCCGAAGCGACCAGCTATCACCTGCTTTAGAATAAAGGCCATTTTTTTAACTATAACTGGAGGTCCACATCTCTTATGGCTTCTTACTACCTCTGTAGTAGAGGCACAAAGGACAATTCAACTCAAGTTACTGCTAAAAAGAAATTAAAAACTACAAAAAAGAAATATATTTAATAGTAGGGTAAGCAATTTACTTATTTTTCCTAGACTAAATAAATAAGGCTTATTCCTTAGCATAGTAGATGAGGTATTATGACACACTGGTTCAAAACATCCATAATAATTAACATGCTGCATGTAAGAATAGCATTCATAGATCTTCCCTGACAAGTGCACTGCCCTCCTGGTGTCTCTAGCTTGAGTGCACTCAAGATACATGCAAGATTTTCCTTCTCCATTTTCCTTTAAATTGCAATAACTTACCCAGTATTTATTAGAGCCACCTCCATTCTCACCCTAAGTCTTGTCTTGGTCACCTCTTAATTTTGTGTAGATCTTTTCTTCAAGGCCTCCTCCACTCCCATTATCACTCAGAGTCAACACACAATTTGCTGTCTAACAACCCCATTGACACCTGTCCTTGTCCAAGTGCCTCGCGTGGGTTTTATTCCATTCCGTCCCTACTTCCTCTCCCGTTTCACACACTTAGCCTGTTTGTGCTACAAACTTGCCTCAGAGAGYACAGATTCCTGCTTCTCCTCCTTCTCTGCATCACTTGGAGGAGACTTTGATGGTCAAGCTTCAAGTTGGCTTAAACTGGCATTGCTGCACTGACTTCAGAGATGCCAAATTAGAGGCAGGCAATCTGGTCTCCTATCTTCCYACTGAGCCTCCATCTGTTCTCAGATCTTCATTTCCCTCCAGTGCAGCTCTCTAAAAAGCCAGTGTCAGTTTTCTGCTCYGATTGATTCACTGCAAACTATGTCAACTGTCCCAGGCAGTATTTGGGGGGCAAAGTATTGGGCAAGCCTTTCCCACCACACACACAGATCGTGATCAATGGGCTTTAAATTACCTCTCCTACACAACATACAAYCCTGTTGATTCTATGACAGGGCCAAGGTCATTCCAAAGCACAAAACCTCATATCCCCCTGTACTACTTGTAAAGGAGACTGCCAGCCACATTCACTTCCAAATCTACTTTTGGCCAATATTTTAAAGKGGTGGTTAACATTGATGTTTACACAAGATCTATTTTTCTAACTGCCTTTTAAGAAGTGTTAATGAATTACATCCAAAGGCAACAGCTTTATGATAGCATGACACTTAGCAGGACCTCTGTTCCATTCATTGCCCTCAATAGCCTAAACTTGTGTGAAACGCACATGGGAAACAACACAAATCCTCATCATTAGCGTCTCCAGTTTAATTCCCTCTTAGCAGGAGGTCCTAYTAGCACAGCAGAACTGGAATGCTCCCCAGAACCGAGTCTGGGACTCCAATCACACAGTGACACTGCTCCAGGTCCTGGCTTCAGCAGGGTCACTGAAGTATCATTTTTTCCTTCCTTTCAACATTTTCAAAGCAGATGCTCAAATACCAGTCCCTCCATGTTACCAAGTTCAATCCAAGCCCCCAGCTTTGCTCCTTTAGCCTATATGCATATGTGGGAGTCATCTGGGACTCGGGACATGAGCAAATAAGATGCACTTGAATTGGTAGCTTTACTTATAAAGGTTTAGGTTAGTCTTGAATAGTTTTTCTAGGCATTTTCAACAATACATGCTTTCATGGATCTTTCTGAATAGTAATGAAGATATTTTCACTGCAAGATAAGTTTCAAAGAGTTAATTAGTCATACTGGATCTTACAGAGGTTTCTATACCTTCCTAAAAACATTTATATCCTTTTGAAAAGGAAAATATTTGAGTCATCATGAAGCTCTCTCCAACACTCGTTATCTGACTTATCTGTTTTGGTTCCTTTTCATCAATTGCTAAAATCAATTTAACCTACAACAGGAAGTCTTAATCATATTTACTTTTGGCAAAAAGACATTTGCTTGTGACGAGGTTTTTACTGGATAAATTAATTGTAGGATCTGCTCAGATTTCTAAGTACATTATGACATTTATTAATATTTCTGTAGCAGGAATCCTACAAGATGCTTTGCAAATGTGCCTAGTCCAGCATTATACAGTAACACTCTTCTTCCCTTCTCTGACCATCAGCAAAGACATAATCTTGATACTTGAAGGGACACAGCCTCTACCACTCTAAGCAAACGGGCTGCATTAGCAGCAAGCTAAACTCCTGTGTGGGAAAAAATAATAGCTGTAGGACGACACAAAAAGGAAGTGATCACCACTGCTACCATTTATCCAGGATATTATGATCAATCTCTTTGCTCAGGCTTATTATCAAACTCAGTGACTCATCTTGCCTTGTCACTTAAAGCCTGTGCACTTTCCAGATGAGCAGTGGGAATATTGCTTACCTTGTTGAACCGGGGAATAGGCATTAGTCAGAAAACGAAAGTGCCCTTTATTGTACCAGCAGATCAAGGACATGTTTCCCTTCATTTTTATTCTGTACTGCCCTCTGGCCTGGGGCGTTTCAGGGTTGTTCAGCATGGTTGGAGGTAGGCCTGTGCAGTCACTTTTCCTGGCGCTCAGCAACCCGCAGCAGTAAATCTCTGTAGGGGAAGAAAGAAACAYCCCCCATCAGCAAGTCATTCTGCGGGTCTAGATAGCAAGGGAAGCAGAGCAAGACTGGCTGACAGGGCTACAGAAAGAACTATCTTCTTAAATGGTTCTAGTTCAATGCATCTCCTGGCCAACTTGGCTTTTCCTGCAATACCTAAGAAGATTTGTGGCCTGCAATATCTGACTTCTTAAAAAAATGATGCTTACGCAATTGAATACTGGAAGAACTGGCAGATTAAAAAAATCCATGTGCCAGAAGGATGGAGAAGATGAACACACAAAGTTCTTACAAGTTCAAGAAAAATGGATTTTGGGGAAACAGAATAAACTAAATCAGTGTCCTTGTGGAAGGCACAATGATGCAAAGACCTTCTGCAGATACACCAGAGGCTCCACATACAGGAGACCAGGTCACACATGGTGCGCTGCTCAGAGCTCTTTGCTTTTTCATACATGAAAGATACGACAAAACACAACTCAATGCAGCAAGGTGGAAACAAATTATTGGAGCTACGTTATTAATTGCCAGTGCTTGACCTTGTCATTAGGCCATAAGATAATAACGGCCTACTCCTGTTAGTCCAGAGAGAGCAAATCTTCCTGAGGAAATTACCAATCTCAAGGAAAACTTAGACTGACATTTCCTGTTCTTCCTTGGTTTTACATTAACCTACCCTAATGGAGAGAATATATGGGCATGGAAGCAGATGACATCTGTGCGTGACATTCATAAGGCAGCTGAGATCTGTGGTAGTTTAAAGCCAATCTGTTGGTACTTGACCATATTTTTCATCATAATGAATAGTGCACACGAGATGAACTATCATCTTTAAAGAATAAACACTAAGTCAGATTACACTTAAAGACTTCCCCAAAGCCTTTACCTGCATTCTTGGGGTTACCACTTACATACGATGGTATAAAACGAAGCTAACAACTACATTACTGCACTGGAACTTCAGAACAGCAAGAGACTTCTCCAAGACCCCTTTGCAATTTGTTCTAGCCTTTCCTTTATCCCAGGCAGTAAGTCCACAGAAAGACTGCAGCGGATGTTTCACTCCTCCTACAGAACACAGGGAACCATGTCCTCCCTCGGGAGCACTCTGTAACCTCCCTGCTATTTATCCTCAAAAGGCCCAACAGTTCTGAAAATCTATTAACATCCTTCATCATGGGTGAGACTCTTACAGAGTTTTTTTTTAAAAAATCCAGTTACTATAGTAATAARAGCAATAAAAATTAAGCCCATCTGGCTCAATTCAGTGTTTGCATATAATGAAAGCTGGCTCACAACAGGTGCTTGCCACATTTGCTGAAGTGAGTAGAGCCAGTGTCCTCATCTGGTCTTCTAAGCTAGGCTGGGCAGTAATGAAAGCAASATGACAAAGTGTGGCCTAGCCACTTGAGTTCATTTCTGGGGTCTCTACAACCTGGAAAGCTTGTGCTGAAGTTTATTTCACCACAGCTTTTTATTAGGACCATTTACAAAGGCAGTGAGACTCCAGGTAATTCAGGCAAAAGCACAAATTCTGCAGCCATATATCCAAATCCTGAGCGCATCAGTGGTTTGAGTAGAAGTTAGGGCAACTGGGAGGGCCACCATGRGCAAGAGATGTTTTCCTTTTTTTCTTTTTTTCTTTCTCTTTTTTTCTTTTCCATCTTTTTGCAAGATACTGAGAAGGTTGTGTGAGTAGGGGGTGGCCATGATATGGTCACCCAGGCTTGTGATTTCTGCCCGATGATGTGCAGTGTGTCCTCACCCCAGCTCTCCTGCAGGACTGAGTCTGCTGCTCCTGCAGATGCAGAAAATATGGTCTTTGAAAGAGGTCTTATTTTCAAGGGAAACATGAGGCAAAGGGCTTTGGGAGGTGGCGTCCTCTATAAAAGACAACACTCTTACTTAGAAGGGGAAAAAGAGCGCTACGAATGAGTGTTCCAGCTAATAACAATGACAGTCTCTGCTTGCAGAACAGATAATTTGGGGCATTTCAATGCTGGTTTCCAGTTTTATTCAGAGACCAGAAAAAGAAATGCTTTATATGTCCTCGGAAAAAAAAAAGGAGATTTATTCAGGTTTTTGACTTTTAAAAAGATCAAAGTGCCCGGTCTTATTTTCTGAAGTTTTCTCAGCTCTAGGTATTTTCAAAGACCTGAGAGTTATGCTCACTGATATCCTTTTATATTTCTAGACACATACTCTTTACTGTAATACAGTGAAGGTGCTACACGGGAGATTTTCAATGGGAGGATTTCCAAAAAGAGAGAGAACACTACATTTTTGCAGTAATACGGGTGTGGGCTAGGGAAAAGAAATGATAATCATGTCTCACAAAAATGTTCACAGGATCATAAGATTATAAAATACTTCTCAGTCTGGAAGGGACAGGAAGCGTCCAGCCCAACCCGCTGCTCAAAGCAGCTCATCTGTGAGGGCTGGTCAGGTTGCTCTGGACTTTATCCTGTTGGGTCTTGAAAACTTTCAAGGACAGAGACTGAATGACTTTTCTGGGCAATCTGTTCCTTGACACCTTGACTGTCCTTGGTGAAGACTCTTCCTTTCACTCTGATTCTCTCTTGCATCCAGCTACTCCTGTTGTTTCTCACGCTTCCACCAAGGACCACTGCAAAGAGCCAGGCTTCATTCTCTGAATAACCTCCTTTTGGTAATAATTTTGATGASTTGGTAATAAACCTCCTTTTTGGTTGGGGTCCCCTCAACAAGAAACAGGTTTGTTACAAACCTGTAAGCAACAAGCATTCGTCTGGTTCAGTAGCCCTGCACCCTTTTCACTGTGTTTACAGACCACCTGAGTCATGTATTATTGTCTTTCTTCTTCCACAGATGAGCACGAAAGTTGTGACTAAGAAGAATTTGAAGAATATTTTTTTTTGTCTAACAATCTTTATTTTTAAATATGGAACACCTTAAGTACCAGGAATATGTGGGTTATCCTCTGTTTTGCGATCAGACCTTTTGCATCACAGTGTTGGCAGTTCTAAATGTAATAGCTATACTCAGTCCTGAAACCAGTCATTTGCTAAAGAACAGTTTCCAGTCAGAAGAAAAACACCAGTGAAGTGTAAATATGCTTGAGTTCTTTCCCACCCAAGGTCCTGGTTGTACCATTTGGTAAACCACGGCTGCTTTTGTTAGAGTCGGGCAGCATTCCTCCGCRCCCTGCGACTTCTGGATAGAGAGACTCTTCCGGACTCACTCTGAGCACTGGCAAGGGGCTGGCTGATGGAGCCACACTGGTATTAATGGTCATTCTGCTTGCAAGAGTGCTGCTGCTGGTGTAGAGTTTATGCTTTGCAAACTTAACAATTGCCCTACAGTCGTCACATGCTTGTCACAGCAAAAAWWAAWAAATAAATWAAWAAAAAGCAAACCATGCTAGGGTTTTTTCAATGATATGCAACTKTCAATGAGACTGCACAGCTTTAAAAGATATTAAACSAACGACTTCTAAGGCACTTCTTTAAGGATTCATTCCATCCTTAGTCTTTCACAACTGGCCCCAAAAATGACAGGCACAAGATCTTTTGAGAAGCCCCCCGAGGTCATGCATAAGAATAGGCCTCACATTTCTAAATCTAAGAACAAAAGGAAGAGCCTTTAATACACCTGTTAAAATAGGTTTACACCTCCCTTCTGAATTTGAAAGATTCACAGAACACAAACTCAACTTAAAAAGACCTCTGCATAGATTTTTTTTCTGGAAAGAGACCTGTTCCTTGAGAAGCCTGTCAGGAGCTGTTTGAATTCCACAGCAGGAGGCTCCCAGGTCTTTCAGCATTAAGCCCCAGTGAGTCACCAGACACCCACCTTGCTTCTCAAACTCCTCAAAGAGGTTGAGGCTCGTAATGCTGGGGCCAGTGAAGATGATGTAGTTCTTTCCAGACGCGTTCTGGCAGAGGCTTTTGGCCACCATACTGTGGAGCTGCGGTTTGTTCTTCAAAGCATCCAGCCCGTCAGCACCGCTCCCTTCCTTGAGATGGACGTAAATCTGAAATGAGAAACAGGAAGAAAAGCAGAAGGTTGTAAGTTGGCCCTGCTCAACTGCAGACAAACTCATTAAGGCAATGGGTGCCTTTTTAAAACTTCTGATATTYGAAGCCCCTTTGAAGGGACTCTTGCTTCAAAACTACTACTATAGGTTAGCTGGCAGAGGTACAGATAAAGAGGGGCCCCTTCGCCTCAGCTTAAGAGCTTCTTGAAGTTGCTGTGCACTTGGAAGACTTTGCTKGGCAGTAAAAATCCCAAGTCATAACTGAGATTATGGGCTACACTGAATCTGCATAGTGTTTACGGCTGCCAGCCAAAGGACTACGTGGAAACTTCAGTTCCAAAAGAGGTCTCTACAAGAAGGACCAGAAGGAAATGGCCCATTAGCTTTACTGCAGTAATGTTCAGATTTATTTCTGTTGGCAGTGGCCATTAGGCTGTGATGTAAAATGAGGAGACAGCAGTACACACACTTAACCAGCCAGAACATCCTAATCAGGCTCTCCAAGCATAGCACTAATTCTTAGCTCCTTTTCTTAGCTCCTGATTTGGAGACAACCCACCAAAGCAGACTGAAGCAGGAAGCAGGGTACAGTGCAATATACTGCTTTTCAGAGCTAAATGCCTGCCTCGTGGCAGGCCACGGCAGCTTTAGCAGGTACCCTGCCACAGGGCAACCTGCATCACCTTTCCCATTAAAGAGAGCTGTCGTCATCATCCATAGGCGGACATGCCTGTTTGGGCCAGAGAACAGGAACATCTGCCCCTTAATAGTGACTGTACTTACCTGAACACAGCACTGCTAGTAAAGCTACCTGAGGCAAMGCTGCTTTTCACTCCTCCAAGGGAGTCCTCTAGAAGAGGAGTTTTATGCCTTGCCATGCAGAGGGAGCTTTCCCTAGCAGTCCATCCGTCATGGAACAGACCCCTGAGGAGTATGTTATGTATGAAACCTCTGAGACCTGAGACAAGATTTGTGTTTTGAAGTARTTAGTGTGCCAAAGAACAAAGTTGGTGCAAGGATTGGATACTCCAGAAAAAGAAAGCCATGTTTTAGAAGAAAGGATAAATATACGTTTCAAAAACATTCTCTTTTGTATAATATCCAGATGAGGACAAAGGCAGGAATGCTGGTAGACCCTGACAATGCCCCACTCAATTTTGAAAGCTGCCAAAATTTCACTTCCACCAATGCTAAGCTTATGAGGAGTAGCTAATTACAATAAATCATTTAGGTTTTAAATGGACGCTCAAGAGCAGAGCTTAACAGTGGAATGCATACAAAAGGGAGACTGGTCCAGAGCTAACAGCAAAGATACTGCATTATTTTTAGTATCAGAACTAAGATTAGGTTACACATGTGCCAGCACAGAGACCCTACATCAGSTCCCTAACATTTACACAGCAGTGAAGACACAAAGGATGCAGACAGATTCGTTCGGACCATGGCTTCACAGCTGAGCTGASAACAAAGCAGTGATCTTCAGCTCTAGGAAAGTGTCCAGCAAACCTCTCCTGTTGCAGCTCATCTTAGCCACCCAAGAGTCTCTCTTCTTAGGTGCTCCTTTGGGGTGTTGCTTGAGGTATGAGACAATCTGCCAGTGCCATTCGTGGGCCAATTGGTTCCTCAGCATGTGCTGTTTTGGGTCCACAAGCAGCTACTTCAAAGAGCACAACTGTCCACTGATGGATCAGTATTTTCACATCAGGATTATCCATATGCCACAGACTTTGCTACAGAGTTCCCTGGGCACCTGGAACTTCTGGCACTCTCCCTTTGCCTCCCCTCTTGTATAAGGGTCCCTGTAACAGCCACCTTGTGATTCTCTTGTGATTCTCTTGCTCACTTTCCCAATGCCCTTAAGGAAAACTTCCACATCTGCTATCAAACCTGCCCTCATTCCTGCCTCCCTCTGTATTAACAGCTGCTCCTGGGGCATTTCCTTGCATATACAAGCATAATCCCTGTTCCTGGAACAATTATTTCCTGTTTTGGAGGAGCACCATTCAAAGCTTTCTCTAGGAAAARCAGGCGATGGCACCAGTATTGGAAGGCATGAAGGCCTCTGCAAAACAGCAGCTGTKCACAGAGAGCTGGCAAAGGCATCGCTTCCAACACCCCGGCAAGGGGCGAGGATCCCACGCGGCCCGTGTTTTCCCTCTCCCCCTCCTCTCATCTGATTTATTTCAGTTCTCCCTCACCTCTTTAAGATCCTGCTTAGTGCAGCCCACAGTATCCCCCCCATTCTGTAATTCATTGAAGGTGATATTGAGCAGCTATCAGTCTGCAGGCAAAACACAGAACTGTCATGAACAGACTTCACAGGTTTAGCCAAAAGCTGCTCACTCAGCAATGGTGGTTAATTTGTTCACCAGAGCTGCTGATTTGCCTTGCGTCAGCGTTAGAGCTTTGCACCTTTTCCACTTGCTCCACTTGCTCGGAAGCACCAGCCCTGGGACTGCTGCAGGATGACAGATGGAGACGTTGGCAACAACACGCGCTGCTTCGGAGRGTGACAGTCAAAGCCACATCTCTCAAATATCCACAGAGGTCACATTTACTGATGTGACAGTCATGTGGCTCCGAGTGGCTATCGATCCATTCGATCTAAAGCACCAAATGGGATTTCCTGAAGTTGTGACATCATTTGTCTTACGAGGCAAATACAGGTTGAAGCCTTTACCCTGCAGGGCTGGAATAGGGAGGGAGCTTTTTCTACTCATCAATCCTCTTGTCTTCCCAACATGCATACTCATTCAGTTCTGTCATCCTTCTATCTGGTGCAGCCCTACTTCTTATCCAATGTGTTTTGATCCTTTATACACAATACAAGCTCTCCTCCCACTCCTATTAACTCATCCCTAAAACTGTCCTATCTTCTGCCTTTGCTTTCCACGCAGCATCCTATCAGTTCCTTCCTCCCAAAACCCGACAATAAGGAAGGACCTTCACAGTCTCTAGCTCACCTTTGCCTTCCCTTCCACTGCAACTGCTTCTGCCACCTTCCATCACGAAAGTGGAAGTASATATCTGATGGCAGAGCAACAGGCTATTTGTACAGACTGTGCTGATCTCTTAGAAAACTGAAGAAAAACAAAGAGTGCAAACCATTCTGGAAAGGCCAGTTTACCTACATAGCCGCAATGAGAAGAGACACTCCAATTTAAACAGGAGGTTCCACACGCTGACAGATGAGAGGCAGTGTAATCTGTCGGTCAGAAACTCCAGACAAACTTGTTTGCCCACAGGGACAGACCGCTGCAGAGAGCTGCCAGGGAAGGGCAGCAGAGCCCACTGCTGMTTCAGGTCTCAGGGCAGACATTCCTGCGAGAAGCCAGGAGGGTTTCCTTGCTCTCTGCTAGCATATACTACCAATGGAGAATTCATGTGGAAGGTTCATAAGGTCTTTCTGTGAATTGGGGTAAAAACCAAGCAGTTAGGAACAAAAGCTGTATCTTGACTGCACGTTTAAGAGTGCCCTAGGAACTAAAATTTTGGTGATTCTGTTCATGTTCAAAGCTCAGATGGCAAAAAAGAAAGCACTGGTAAATAGCACATCCCAAATACTCTGCATTCATACATAATTGAAGCACCCCAGGGTACGATTCTCAAGCAAAATAGATGCCATTTGAAGGAAAAAAAAAAAAGGAGGGGTTTGTTATAAACAGGAGGCAGATTTTGAAGGCTACATTGTGCAAAATATCTAACACAGAGCAGAAGCCACAAAGCAGAAGCCAAGTTTTTAGATTACGCAGCAATGAAAGCAAGGGTACAAAGAATGGTACAGTGATACTTTTTGGATCGTGAACAGCTATTGAAAATACAGCAACTATTTTTTTTCAATAGATTTCACAGCCAAATTCTCAATTGGTCATTCTGCAGCACTCTAGATCTTACCTCACTCGATTTTCACCTCTTACCTGAACTGCCTTATTTTACTGTCCCTACTCTCATTCGTGTTGGGAGACCCTCCCCTCCAGTCCCACCCCAAGCCTTCTGTAGTCAACATCCCACCCTTTTTTAATGCCCGCTTTTCAGGCCGTTCCTCACTCTAGCTCTTCCTTAGCCGCTGTGGCACCACTGACTGTTGTCTTCTTGAGASTGGATCTTTCCACTCATTCTATCCTCTCCTTTTTCTCCATCTACTTCTCCAAAGTCTACTAAAAAAAAMCAAATAAAAGAAGGATATCTTGCCCATCCTGTTCACAAGCAGACCTTGGGGTTCCATACAAAGCGCTTTCTTTGGTCCCCTTCTATCCTCACTTTGCCTCCTACTCCAAATGATTTCAATCCACAGCAACACACAGATCTAGCTAACATCTCTGCACTGAGGAATGGCAAACTTCTATTTCTTCTGCATGTATTCTTCAAAGTTGCTAAAAAGATACTGCTAGATCAGAAGAAAGAAACTGCTAGATACATTAGTTGACACCTTAAGCTAAAAATAAAGCTGCTTTTCTTCTACTGCCACTCTTTCTCTACATGATTTATTTATCAGTGAAGACACTACATTTGTTTATGGCAAACCTACAACCTGGGGAGCATCAAATGCAGACTTTTCTCCATCACATCTAAGTCAGGCAGCCTCATTACACATAACTCCTCTAAGATGCAGCTTTTCCTGTTCATTCGCATCCCTAGAACTGCCTGGCTCTCATCTCAGTTACTGCAACCCTTCTTCTTGCCCTTGGCCTCCCTTCTGTGCATGGTGACACCAGCCTGTGCGCTGCCTCGGAGCCCCCCTGCCTGTTTGCTCGGCCACACCAGCCTTCCACCAGCTCCCCCAGCTTCTTTAGAGCACTGGAACCAGGCTTGGGAAATGGAAACCAGCCTCCACGGCTGCTTTAGTCCTCCCAATTCCGCATTCCCTTTAGCTTTTCAGTATGCCAATTCCTCCCTATGCTTGTTCTCAGATGTCGGTCACCCAGCTATTGCTGCCAAACACAGACACTTTTATTTATTGCCATACAACCCTTCTGCTTGTCTGGAAACAGCCACTA